AATGCCATTTACAAATGACCCTTATGCCGCGCTATGGTAATATAAATAACTGTGTCTCCACACTCCTAACTCATGAGACGCCAACTTACTGTTCCTTATGACCTCAAGTTTGGGCTTTGAGTTTTAGTGGCACAGTCAAAATAACATTTGAGTTTATACATGTTTTTCTAGCCATTTGATAGTCTTGTGAAAAATAAAATAGGTGTTGATAATAAACAGAGATAGCTTAATTTATGGGTTATAAAATTAGCTAGGTGACCATCTACAAACAAGTGTATTTTTTTAATTATCTTAAACCCACTCAAGACTATTCATGACAGTAAATATTTTCTGAGGAAACAATTTTTTTCTCTATTTTTGTTACTTAGTTCATTGAGTAATTTTTTTTAAATTACCTAGATATTTTGGCATATTTTAATATTGTGGTAAACCATTAAGAATTTAAAAGTATGCTTGGAGTATTGCTTGCTTAACCTCCTGACTTAGCATAGCACCCTTTGATTTCCAAAATAGAAACCACTCAAACTCCATGTACAAATTCACCTCTGCTCAAGCCCTTGGGAACAGCTGTCTTCAGATGTGGAAAATACGGAGCACCCTAAATTAACCACCCGATTCTCGGTGTCAACCAAGCTTTATGGCTACAATGGGGCTTCTAATCTCGCTCCTGATTCATCTCTCCAGGTTCCTTGAGTCTCATTTTTAGTTTTCTAGTTCTCAGCTTTCACTTCTTTGAAGGGACTCAAGCCCTGCTTCAAAGCCCATTCTAGAACCCACTCCTAATTTTTATACTTATTCACTCAAGTCTTTTAGAGTTTTAATATATTCCAGGCACAATATGCGTGCTGGTAATTTGCTTGTGTTGTGCCTGGACTATGTTAGCCCCATTCTGACAATAAAGGCCCAGATTCTTTCAATCGTTCATCTCGCTTTGTTAGATTAGCATCCTTCCACTCCAACTGCTGAACTGGAGGGTGTCACACGTGTCAGGGTGCATGTGGACACATCATAGGCCACCGGATGAACATTGGCTGAATGGATAGCGTATAAATAAAATGATTCTCTCTCACTTTTTGTCTCTCTCAAAAACAGAGTGTTCTCTGGTATTCTTAAAATCTGAATGTCAAAAAATTGGCACATAGTTATTCATAATTTATTTTTTACTACTAAGGAGGCTAGAGGAGCCCTGTGGCACAGTGATTATGTATTGGGCTGCTAACCACAAGGTCAGCAGTTCTAAACCATCAGCCAATCTGTTGGGAAGAGACAGGACATTCTATTTCCCCTAAAGAGTTACAGTCTCTGCCACTCATAGGGGCAGTTCTACCCTGTCCTATAAGGTCATTACAAACCATCATCAACTCAATGGCAGTGAATTTGGTTTGAAAGACAATCGAGTTTTAAAAAGTATAGTCATGGGGAGGAGAATATAATAAATAACCAATGAAATTGTTCTACTATCTTTGTCCCTACTGCAAGCATTTCTTCCATTTACCTTTACCATTCAGTCTAAGGCATTCACTGAATAACTCAAAAATATCTTAGTCTATTTAATGAATAATAGTTGAGGAAATGGTCCATAAATGAGTGCTATTTCAATTCTATCTATATGTAAATTTGGAATTTAGGCATATTGGAAAAGAAGATACTTTTAGATCACACATTCCAAAAAACTACATATGTATCATGTGGAATAGCATGAAAATGATTGACTATGTTGCTTCTCATCTGGATGATTTGGTAATGTGGCAATAGAGAGAGCATTGCCATCTGGTTCACATCGTAGTCATAAGACTTAGTGTCACTAGATCCAAGGTATAACAAATAAACATTGGCCAAGTGCTTATAGTAATCAAAAAGTGATGGTTGATTCTAAATCTTTTCTCTACATCTATCCAGTGTACAAACTGACAGAAGTACTTCTCTCCCTTTCGCTTCCAATTTATCACATTCCTGCACATGCTTCAAGGTGCCTGAGGCTTATTTAAGTTGTAATATGTTGTTCATGATGTAGAAAATCTAGATTTCTTAGGGAGACATTCATTTGCATTCTTCTTTCCCTAATCGGTTCTGGATGTTTGACTTAAATTATCAATATGATTTTAAAAAGAGACTACAATTATTATTAGTAAAAGAGAACTCATACTATTAAGATATGTGAGTATATGTCTTGAATTGTATCTGAACCATTCTAATGTCTAATTTATATTGCTAAAAGATAATAACCTCAGCATAAATAGAATAGGTAATCATTTGCCAACTCTGTTTTTAAGAATCTATACAAGAAAATGCAGTGTGATCTTTAAGCATCTTAATCGGAGCAAAAAGAAAGGGTTTAATATTTCAATGTTTTGTCTTACAAATTCAAAGAGCCATATATCTTGAAGAATTTTCAGTATATTTTGATATAGTTTTGTGACGGAGTTTGAATATGTTTATTAATTTGCTAACTTAAATACTGATTGAACCCCTTTTCGTCGTTAGTAGCCAACGAGTTGGTGGCCCCATTCACAGCAGCCCATGGGCTGCAGGGTGGAATTCCTCCATAGCATTTTACTGGCTGTCATCTTTACAGAAGCAAGCTGCCAGCTATTTTTCCCGTGGAGATGTGTGGTTCAAATTGCCACCCCTTTGGTTGTCAGCCTGTAACAGACTCCTTGAGCCCCTCTTTTCCCTACTCTTCACTTAAACTATCTACCAGGTAGTAAGCAAGAAAAATAGGTTCCTTCCCTGAAATATGTATTCATTAAGAAGAGATACAATTAGCATGAAAGCACAGAAAAACTCACAGCCTACATTAAGCACTTCGAAAGATTGCAAAATAATAAAAGGAATCCAATTAGATGAAATGATTAGAAAATACTTGTAAAAGAGCCACTGACACCCACAAAATTAAAATTATCAATGTATGCAAAAGTTAAGGAGCACTGCTAGCGTGGTGGACAACACACTGAGCTGCTAAGCGCATAGTCACTGTTTCAAACCCACCAGTCCTTCTGCAGAAGAAAGAAGAGGCTGTTTGCTCCTGTAAAGATTTAAAGTCAAGGGATGTAAAAGGGTAATTCTACTTTGTCATATAGATTACCTATGATCCAGTTAAGTTTTGAGTTATGCAAAAACTGCAGTAAGATTTGGGTGCAGGAAAGGATTATATTTAAAATTATCTTCTATATTCAAAAAACAGATGTGGTTCAGTGTGTCTAAAACATAATGAGCAAAGAAAAAAATATATCAGATAGGATGGTGTCAATACACAAGATGCAGATTCTGGAAGACCTCACAAACCATGGGAAAATCTCAGACCTCATCTGGAGCATTAGGAAACAATTGAAGAATCTTTAGTGGAAGAGTGACGTAGTCCAATTTATATCTTTAAAAGTCATTAATGAAGACCATGAGAGAACCATAGAAAACACCTAAGAGGGCACGGTCATGGTCCGAGGAAGAAGGAATTAAAGCTTTGCCCACCGTAGCAGGAATCATTCAGGAGTCCCTGGGTACTGCAATTATTTAGCACACTTGGCTGCTAACCGAACGATTAGAGTTTCAAGTACACCTAGAAGTGTCTGAAAAAAACAAACAGTAATCAACTTTCCAAAAATCGGCCATGACAACCCTATGCCACAGCTGATCCACTAAGACACAGGGCGGAGTCATCATGAGTTGGAATTGACTAAATGACGAATGACAGTTGAGGAAACTAGAAAGAATTGTATATATCGAATTGTATATTCTGTTAGAAGAATCATGAATAGGGCTTCTTGCTAATTAGATGGTGTAGGTGAGAAAAAGAGAAATATTAATAATAAATTATTGGTATTTATAAAATAGGCAGTTGGTTATGAATATGCTTCAGGAACAAAGTCTTCAACCTATAGATCTGTGATTTACAGCAAACATTGTAGTGTCATTCGAGAGTATTTGGAAATTTTATACAGACATGACTTGGTTGTCAGAATGATAAGGAGTGCTAATGACATTTCCTTGGCAGTGGCTGGAAACGCTATGCACATACTAGTGATTTAACATATGTAGGGCAGTATGGCAAAGCAAGTTATTCTCCTATATACTGTAAAATTTTTCAGTGAGCCTCTTAACTAAAAGCCCAACCCAACCTACTGTGCTCAAGCTAATTCTGATTCAGAGTGACTCTGTAGGACAGCGTAGCACTGCTCATTTTGGTTTCCCCTGGTGGTAAAGCTTTACCGGAGCAGAAAGTCTCATTTAGCTTGTGGGTTCAAACAACTGACCTTGTGGATTGCAGCCAAACTCAAAGCCCAGTACACCACCAACCGCTCTCTGTTGCTTAATTATGACTGATTTTATTGAGAGATGTCATCAAGACTCTTCTGACTCATAGCAACCTGATGTACACAGAATGTACCACTTCCCAGTGCCATGCCATCCTCACATTTGCTATTCTAGTGCCCATTGTTCCAGCCATCGTGTGAATCCTTCATTGAGGGTCTTCCTCGTTTTAACTGCCCTTCTAGTTTACCAGGCATGTTCTTTTCCAGCGACTGGAACATGGCACGATGTACAAAGTATATGAGGTATAATCTCACCCTCCGCGCTTCTAAGTGGCATTCTAGCTGCACTTTTTCCAGAACATATTTATCTGGGCATTCAATATTCTTTGCCAAGACCATAATTCAAAAGGTACCTATTCTTCTTTAGTTTTCTTTATTCAGTGTCCAATTTCACATGGATATAAGGCAATTGAAAATATATGGCATTGGTAAAGCATGCCCTGCCCTAAAGTGACATCTTTGCTCTTAACACTTAAAAAGTGGTTTGGCGGGGGAAGATTTGCCCAATGGAATATGTCGTTTGGTGTCATGACGACTGCTTACATGAACATTGACTTTGGATTCAAGCAAATGAAATTCTTGTCAGTATTTCACCCATCTATCAGTATGTTATCTACCAGTCCAGTTGTGAGGATTTGGGTGTTTTTATTTAGCTATTTATTGCTTTAACTTTATTATTTTAAGCTAAATTTATTCCCAAGCCGTAAGTTTGTGGTTCTTCAGTTTCTTCTGGGGGATCTTTTTCTTCTGTGCAACCTCCTCTTCTGGTTGAAGAACAATGTGTTCCTTTTTAGTCAGGATCATTTCCACGTGGCAGGGGGAGCCCATGTGTGGCTTGATCTGACCATGAGCTCTGTACGTCCGGCGGCGCATCTTGGGGGCTTTGTTCACCGGGATATGCTCAATGACCAGAGAATCCACATCTACACCCTTAAGTTCAGCATTACTCTCTGCATTCTTAAGCATGTGCAGCAAAAATTCCACACTCTTTTTGGGCCACCGACCCTGGGTCCAAGCCCACTGTTTGGCCTGGGCACACGTACCAATGCCACCATTGTAACATGGGAAGGGCACACATTGCTTCTGCAGAGTGACATCTTTCAAATATTTGGTAGCTTTCCAGATGCGCCTCTTGATGGCCTGGGCAATTCCATGGGTCTTCTTAAAGTGGACCCAGAGAGTCGACCCTCGTGGTTAGCATGATTTCATGAGGTTTTCTGGGACAAGTGAGAAGCAAACCATTCTGGCAGATCACCTCCAGCACTACAGGAAGAGGAGTTGGTTTTTTTGCTTTGTTTTGTTTTTAACTTGGAGTTGCAAAACACATATACTAAGATTGTAGTCCTTGATCTTCAGGAGCAAGTGTATCAAATATTCTTCACTTTTTGCAGGTATGATTGTATCATCTGCACATCACGGTCTGTGAATAATCGTTTTTCTAATCTTGATGCCACTTTCTTCATCACCTAGTCCAGGTTCTATGCTTATTTTGTTATCATACAAATTGAATAAATATGGTGAAAGATTATAAACCCGAAGCGCACTGTTCCTGATGTGAAATAGGCAATATCCCCGTGTTCTGCTCTCATGACAGTGTCTTTGTCCATGGACAGATTCTTCATTAGCAGAATTCAGTGTTCTTGGGTTCTCTTTTACCTCAATGCCATCCATAGTCTGTTATGATCTAGACCAGTGGTTCCCCACCTTCCTCATGCCATGACTCTTTCCTACAGTTCCTCATATTGTGGTGACCCCCCAACCTTAAGATTATTTTTGTTGCTACTTCAAAACTGTAATCTTGCTACTGTTATGAATCAGGCGACCCCTGTGAAAGGGTCGTTCGACTCCCCAAAGGGGTCACAACCCACAGGTTGAGAACCGTTGATCTAGACAGTCGAATGCTTTCACATAGTCGATAAAACATAAATAAACATCTTGCTAACTTTCTTTCTTTTCAGTCACAACCACCTAGAATATCGAACTTGATGCATTCCACTTTTTTATGACTTCCAATTTTCCTAGACTCCTACTTCATAATTCCAAGTTGCAATTAGTAATAGATAGTTGCAGCTTTGTCCTCTTTTTGTGTCATGCTCCATCAACAAATGAAGGTCCAGAAGGCTTTCTTCCATTGACTTCTGATTGGGTGACTCTACTTTGACAAGGCAGGTCTTCCTCAGTCGTGTTTTGAGGGTTGTTGTCAGTCCTGTGTGCCTCATCTTCTGGCGCTGTCTCTGCCTGTGCTCGGGTGCTGTCCAATAGGGTTCCAGTATCTCACCGTGCTTCCACGCTGCTCATTGTGCAGGTTCCAAATGAATATTAGTTGAGTGAAAACATCATGGCGTGGGTCAGTCACACCTTAACTCTAAGTCACATCTTTGTTAACATTATGTAGAGTTATTTTACTGCGGATTTGTTGAGTGCAATCTGTTGTCCAATTTGTTTGAATATTGCTTGCATAGACATTGATTGTGGAGCTAAGTAAAAATGAAAAATCCTTAATTTCAACTGCACACTACTCACCACGGTGTTCATCCTTGGCCCCTTTGTGGGAATATCTGTTGTCAGGATGTTGAGGTGTGGTCTATACTGAAGGCTGTGATCTTTGATTTCCATCGGTATGTGCTTCATTTATTCTCTTTTTGCAAGCAAGGTGAGGTCATTTGCATATTGCAGAGTTTCTGTGCATCTCCCTCCAGTCTACTGTCATGTTCTTCAGATAATTCAATATATTAGATTATTTGCCCAGCATACAGGCTGAATGAGTCCTTTCCTGATTCCTAGGGCATGCATTATTCATTGTTCTATTCAAAATACTACTCCTTTGTCTATAAATAAATGCCACATGAGAACGATTGTGTTCTGAAACTCCCATTCTTAGCAAAATTATGTATAGTTTGCTGTTACCCAAATAGTTAAATGCCTTTGCATAGTCAACAAAAATCAAACATCTTTCTGATTCTTAATCATACATGACTAGTTGTTCCCTTATGGGTACTACTGCAACATTTAAAAACTTATCTCCAGCAAAAATTTAATTAACTATTTTGTCCAATAACGTCTGCAATCTGTTGTGTCATTTTTCTTTGGAATGGGCACAAATATAAATCTCTCCAGTAATTGGGGAGGTCACTATTTTCCAAATGTCTTGGTCTAGATGACTGGGTGCCTTCAGCCCTGCACCAGTTAATTGAAATCTCTCACTTGGTATTCAATGAATTCCTGAAGGCCAACACCTTGTTTTTCACCAATGCCTCTGTTGCAACTTGGATTTCTTCCTTCCAAAGCATTGGTTCTTGAACATGTACTGCCTTTGGCTAGCGTTGCCCAGGTATTTCGGGGGAAGACTACAGGAATGGAAGCACCCCCTTCAGAAACGCCCACCCCTAGATGGAGGACATGTCTTAAAACAATAGCTTCACAATGTGAATCTTCATTTAATTTAGGTTTCTTTTGTGATTTTTGTAAAGAATCTTCTTATTTAGCAACCCTGTTACATATATTTAAATTTTTCATTTCAATAATTACTTCCAAATTTACAGAAGAGTTGTGATCTTACATATGCCTCTTATTTTTTTTAAGAAGTGGCACTTTAAAATCATCCATTTTCCAATTTTGCTCAGATGAATTATCATGCACATTTATATAGTGTTAGAAAATAGGCTTATAATGAGTTGCATGTTGTAGGACATTGGAAATGGATCTAGATACCACTTTAATGATTTCACTCCTGGCTATAAAGATATAGCCTAGGGTTAAATAAAGCTTAGATTTGTACTTATTGTGAATCAAGAGGAAAATTCTTAAGTGTGTGCTCACAGCTTAATATTATCTAAAATGAAAACATTTCCAAGCACTGTCCATATTCTAAATCCTCATTGTGACCTCTATGTTGCCATATAACTTGTAAATCATTTGGTTACATGTTTAAAATAGATGCTATACTGTATAAATATTTCCAGCATTTCTAGAATATTTCAAAAGTTCTCTTAAATGTAGACTTTCATAGACCATTAACAAAGCTGTGACTTAATTTTTAGCAATGACGCAATATAAACGGACTGTAGCTGGTTGCTGGGTGGCTGGGTGTGTGCTGATGTATTTCAGTCTTCAGTGAGTAGCTGCGAGTTCTATTAAGCAAATGATCTCTGGGATACAGAGCGGTCTTCATTATGAAAGCAGCATAAATCCGATGGTAGCATGGCCTCAGGGCAGACTCAGTGTAGATAAATACGTATCAAGTCCTGGATCACTTTTTAGAACTAGAATGTTAGATTTTTTTCAACCTTATTCAGGACTAGGAAACAATAATGTAATAATGTATTTTTTTACAAAAGGGAAAGTTGTAGTCAGATTTTTTTAAATGTCTCTTCTATGTAAACCCATACCCATACCCCTTAGCTAGCCCATTTCCAATATCACTCAAAGAAAACTGTGAAGTCCCCCATCCCCAGCTGATTAATATGATAGCATATCAATTTTATACCTTGCCTTATCGTATGTATCATAGCTATTGACTATATTTGCTCCCTTTACATTAAACATAAGTATAGGTTTTAATTTAATAGTGAGTTTGTTATGTAGACACTGAAACATACATTGCAAGCCACTCAAATGCACAGGAAAAACTACGTTATTTGGGTAATGATCCTTAGATAGACACTACAGAATACATATCACCTCTAATCTCTTAGTAAAAGGCTGAAAATGAACTTCCAAATTGTCGTCCATATTTGTGCAATTTGATAAGCATGCCTTCTAAAAGAAGGGGTATTTTTTTCATTGAAATCTTGATTATTCTATTTAGATATAAAATATAATGGGTAATTCAGGATTGCCTGTTTAATTTCTGAAATAAATGTATCCACTGCTTCTCGGTCTCCCAGTGGGTTACGTGTTGCTGTGATGATGGAAGCTATGCCACCAGTGGGCAGGCAAGGAAGAAAGGCCTGTCAATTTACTTAGGAAAGTCTGGCCAGGGAAAATCTGCTGAACAGCAGTAAAACACTGTCTGATAAAGTACTGGAAGATAAGCCGCTCACTTGGGAAGGCACTCAAAGTGCTACTGAGTCTACAATGCCTCCTGAAAGGAGAGTTGAGTTAATAATGTGGAGCAGGTCTTCATTTACTGATGTGATATGACTCAAAATGAGAATAAGCTGATATAAGCATCCATTAATAATCAGATTTTGAAATCAAGATCTATGAATCTAGATAAATTGGAAACTGTCAAAAGTCAAATGGAATACTTAGATATTCTAGGCATTGGTGAGCTGAAATGGACTATTATTAATGCCCATTTGATTCAGACAATCATTATGCTGTTGATGTAAAATTGCAGAAATAGTATCACATTAATTATCAACGTAAAATTTCACGATACATCCTGAAGTAAAACACTGTTGGTGATAGGACACAATTCACCTAACTGCAAGGAAGACTAGTTGATGTGACTATTATTAAAATGCTAATGGCAGAAATAAAGGAACTGAAGATAATTACAAACACCTGCAGTCTGAAATTGATCAAACATGTAATCAAAATTCATTTATAATTGCAGTAGATTATTGGAATTTAGAAATAAAATAAAAGATCAATTGTTGTAAAATATTGTCTTGGTGATAGAAATGATCCTAGAGATCAAAAATAGAATTTTGCAAAACAAATGACTTATTCATTGTAAATATATTTTCCACCGCATTAGTAGCAGCATGTATATATACATAGACATTAGCGGATTGAATCAAATAAGCTATCTCTGTGAACAGAGTCCATGGAGAGGTTCATAATCAAAGGGCCAACTGTGACACAGTCCATCAATTGCTCATTTGCAAATTCTAGTTGAAACTGAAGAAAAGTAAAACAAAACTGTGAATGCCAATGTATACCTAGATTATAAAATAACAAACAAGCAACAACAAGCATTCCTTTCCTTGAGTCAGTTCTGCCCACAGCAACCTTACAGGACAGAGTAGAAATACCCTTGTGGCTTTCTGAAATGTAACTTTCTTTCCCATGCAAACCATTTTATCAGGACCTACTCCATTGCACAGTTCACTCATATCAAGGAGTGCTGTACAACTGGTCCCACAATTTGTTTCCAAATATTTTCTTCCCTCTTGTATTCCTTGATATTACCCTGAGTTTCAAGAACTGAAATACTCAGAAAAGCACATAACATGGAGTCAAGAATGCTACCAACAATGACAAAATACAACAGAAGTAAAGCCCCACATGAAAGTAAAACAAAAACAACACTGGAAATATTAAAAACCAGATCAAGCATAAAGTATAGACAAAGGGATATCAGCTGACCAGGCTTTAAGCATTCAAATCAGATTTATCAGTTCAATCTCTTAGAGTCGTCTCTACAATACTCTTTCAGATCACTAAGTTGTTCCCATTTCTCAATTATGATTAGAGGAAACCCACTAGAGGCTTATTCCCTGTGTAGATACTGAAAACATATTTTGGCCTTCCACTGTCATCCATACGTAGCCTTCTGCACACCAGCTCCTCATAATTTAAGCTTGGATACTATTCTCTTCTTTGAATGTTGGTGTGCTTTTTCCCTGTGGGTTTAGGTGATGTCTCACTTAGATGGCTACTTGTTTAAAAACAAGCCTTTAAAACCCCAAATGGTATTCTTTCTGATAGCTGGCAAAATCTAATTCCTTCACCAGACATTCTTTTATTATTATTATTAAAAGATCATTTTATTGGTGCTCTTACAAACTTTAAAACAATCAATGCATCAACTGGATCAAGCATATTTGCACATCAACATTCTTTATCTTTATAATATTCATATCTTCCATATTTCTTTTATCAAGGTGACTTGCAAGCAGGACCATGTTGTAAAAACAAATTATTCTTGTATTTGAGCTAGGATTAAGTGTGAGCCCCAAATCAATTTCTGAATCCATTTTTTCTTTATGGTTCTTGTTCGCCTTAGGGAGATAGATATCTGTTGTTGCAGGGTAGAGCATCTTATCTATTATCTCTCTGGAGCGTAAGGCCCTTCTGTTTATAGTGTCCCTATTTGTTCCATGGGACTAATTGTCAAGCACTATTGAGAAGGGAGATTGAATAAGTGTAAGCTTATTACAAATCAGAATACATGGATTATTGACTTGTACAGAATGGATCCTTAAATTAGTGAACACCATTTACACAAACAATAGGAGCTCATGGTCAGGAAAACCTTACAATAATATTCATTGATAATTTCAGACACAGGTCTTCCATAATTACACATATCTTAATACAGAAAGTAGCACATTGAAATTATAAGTTTGTGTTAGTCCACCTACTGACAGTTCAATACTCTTGGTATAGCTGTCTTCTATTTATTCACACACCATCTAGTTTTCATCTTAAGTACTAAGGTAACAGATGTGTTTGAGGTTGAAACTAGTTCACCTTGTGTGGTTTCCACATCATATCCCTCTGGTATGGAGTGTGTACTGCACCGTGAAGATCCAGGGGTAAAGGTCTCAGTATTCAATGTGTGTTAGTCAGGGTTGACTAGAGAAACAAATTCATAGACACACATATGTGTGTAAGAAATAGCTTTATATAAAAGACCAGTTGTATATTGATAAAATATCCCAGCCCAATCCAGATCAAGTCCATAAGTCCAATATTAGCCCATATGTCTGATACCAATCTATAAATTCCTCTTCAGTCTCACACAACACATGCAATGACACTGAATGCAGGAAAATCACAGACCAATGGAGGGAAAGTCTGCGGATGCAGTGGTGTTGGAAGAATCTCAGTGCTGGTGTGGGTCTCTATGCGGCGCCTCCAGCTCCAGGGCTCTAGTGTAGCTCCATGTGTCTTTTCAGAAGGAAGACAATGCAGAGAGAGTGTGTCTGTCCTCCAATGAGCTATTTATCTCCTTTGAGTCTCTAAATGAGGTCATCAGCTGTGATCTGATTGACAGGCTAGACTCCACCCCTTTTCAAGTTGACAGGAGATTATGTAACTACCACCTCAATGGCAAATGGCCTAGGTTCCCAAGGGTGTACATAAACTTGAGGCAATATGGTCTATTATTAGGAGCATAGTAACAGATATATTTTCCCATCAGGGTCCTTGAAATTATTATTAGTAATCCCCCCATCCTAGGAAGTTGGTACCCCCCCCCTTTTTCTACCAACAGACTTGTCTTCTCCAAGACGCGTATGCTCCATTCCTCCCGGATTTGATGAGAAGATCAAGGAGTAGGAAGCCAAGTCTTTCTCCCACCTCGCATAGATACCCCTGAATTTTGAGAGCACTTCAAAATAGACTTGACACACTCAATACTAATAACAGAGGGTCTGCAAAACTATGGGGCTACATCAAGAACGCCATGTATGTAAAAAGCAAAAAGTCATTTAAAAGCTAGGAAAGAAATGAAAGATCAATGTGATGACAAAAGAAACTCTGAGAGTTGCTATTGAATGTTAAGTAGCCAAAGAAAACGATGAACTAAAATTGCTGAACAGAGGATTTCAAGTGTAATTGGAGAAAATAAAGTTAAGCATTATCATGGAATGTGCAAAACTTTAGAGTTAGAAAAACAAGAGCGAGGTACATCCTTGGCATTTCTCAAGCTAAAATAACTGAAAAGAAAAGAACTGAGACCTTGAACAGCAATACTGAAGTCTCTACAGCCAAAATATTCAATGACTCAAGAAGCAGCAAAAGAAAAGGGAACAGTGCATATCATATAGTCACTGTACTAAAAATAACCAGACGGCATTGAGCTACTTCAAGAAGCAGCATTTGATCCACAGCTGATAGTGTTGGTGCAAAAAACTCACGCTGCACTGGAGGGATGAGTGAAAAACAAGGCTTCCACTATTAGTGGAAGACCAGTCAAAGTTTTTCAACAAACCATTGTAGGGTGGAGGTGCTCACTTACCTGTCAAGAAATTATTAAGACTGCTATATAGTTTCTCACTTGGAAGGACTGGGTATCCCACAGTGAGATCATCTATGACATTGTGGAAATTTTCAAACAACATCCTACAAAAGCAACATTTTATTGAAGATAATTCCAAAATGTTTGCAATAAGACACTGACATAGAACTTCTAGAAATGCAAGCTGGATTTAAAAGAGGATGTGGAATAAGGGATTTGATTGTTGATGTCAGATGGGTAATGGCTGAAAGCATAACAGTATTCAACTGTGTTCTATTAACTCTGCAAGCATATTCAGCTATCTGGACCATAAAAATATAGCTAAAATTAATAAAGATGGTAACACTAGAATAACTGGGTTCATGCAGTACCTGTACATACATGAAGAGGCAGTTGTTTAGACAGATCACAGGGGTATTGCGTGGTTTAAACCAGGAAAGATGCATGTCAGCGTTGTAGCCTTTCATCATACTTATTTAATCTGCATGCTGAAAATAGCCCATGAAGCTTGTCTGTATGAAGAAGAATGCAGAATAAGGTATGAAGAAGACTCATTAACAGCTTGCAATATGTGGGTGATTGGATGTGAAGAGGTCTTTAATCACTTACTGATGCAAAACAAAGACTACAGTCTTTAGCATGGACCGTACCTCAATATAAAAACATCACATGTTCTCACAATTTGACTAATAAGCAACATCATGATAGAGAACAGATTGAAGTTGTCACATATTTTATTTTGTTGGCTTCACAACCAATTACCATGGGAAAACAGTTAATAAATCAAACATTGTATTGTGATGGGTAAATATATAGCCAAAAAATTCATGAAAGCATTACCAAACAAAAATAACACTTTCAGGAATAAGTTGCCTAATATGTCCGCCAAAGTTGGAAAATGAGTAAGGAACACCAAGAAGAAACAATACCACTGAATCATGGGATTTGTGAAGCATATCGAATTCACCATGAACTGCCAGACAAAGGAACATGCCTGTCCTGGAAGAAGCACAGCTACCGCAGTCCTCACACAGAAGAGGGTGAGACATGTACTGTGAACGTATTCGCAGGAAGACCCCGTCCCCGGGGAAAAACGTCACGCTGGATAACGGAATAATCCACAGGAGGAGGAAGATACCCAGAGATGGGTTGACTTTGGGGCTGCAACCAAGAAACTCCAACCTGGGACTGCGGGATTGAGTGCCAGCGACACAGGATTGCTCTTTTTCTCAGAAGAAACTAAACCGCGGTTAACAACAGCAACATTTGTAATCACAGATATTTGAATATCTTCAGGCTTAAAAAACGTGTGTTTTGTAACATTAATTGAAAAATGTAACACAATTTTTACGTTTCAGTTTTCTATAATTTTTATTTTATGCTTCACTTATAATGGAAATGAATAGCCATTCTAATGCAGTTGGCTTATAAATAGACATTCTGAAAATGCAGTTAGCTTATAAAGTCCATCTTTCATGCTGCATCACTATGCTTCCAGGATAAAAAATATCTGTTAAACTTGTGATTATAATGTTATAAGCTTAACCACTAGGTTTTGGTAGAGTTCAAAAGACTTTAATAATTAGCCTTCCCTACCATTGGAGAGATCACTCTCTTTGGATACACACTGATTACCTTTAAACCTACTATCATATGAATATCTATATATATATATATGAAAAATATATACATATTTGTGGAGTAAAGGGAGTTGTTATTTTTGATGTATTTGAATGTTGATAAATTTCACGTGTAGCTAGTTTTTGTATCCCACTTCAGTAGTAATATGTTCTATGTACAATGTTGCTGATGCCATCATTCTCAGATGTGCAATCGCAGATGTTGAATGTAATGCTCTACTGTTCAAAACACTGCCACACTTTTAAATAGAAACAACAACAAAAAAGAGTGATTTGACTGCGTCAGATCTGATTTATTATTGAGTCATCAGAATGGAACCTCATTTGAAGTTGAAGACTAACTGAAATACACAGTATTTATGCTTCTCCAAACTTGTTGTCTAAGGCTGAACACGGATAATACCACAAGCTTTTCTCTATTGCACCTTTTATAGGATATCTTTATTCTTGTCATTCCTGCCTAGATAAAGTATAGTTCAAAATCATGTTTCCAAACCCTTTAGAAAAGACCAGTGTGCTATCTTCCCATTTTCCTCTAGCTATAGACGCTAGCTCGCTCTTTAATCCAACATCCTGGTGAAGTAGTGCAATTTTTATTATGGACCCTAGTGTATAAAAAATATATAGCTCCTACAATATAAAATCCAATGCTGCAAGGTGTTCATATTATTTCAGATGACAACAGACACTTACTTCCAACATCATTCACGATAGAGGTTACACTGAAAAAAACAACCACAATTAAAATTTAGAAGATGGAAAATAAATTGGCATATAATAACTGACTTATAGCAGTCAAGAAATAGTTGATCTTAAATCTGTCATGGAAAAGCCAAGAAACAATTTCTATCATGGACGCTACTACCTCTAAATTAGGAAGTGCAATGCACAGCTCCTGTGGCAGGAAGGGTCGTGGTGGTTATTTGGGACTTTGAGTTGACAGGTTCAAACTAGATGTATGGATAACCGAATGAGTAGCTACCCTGTCCTGTGATTTTCATGAGGGTTTTACCAAGAAGATACTTAGTTGAAAACTATAAAAGAATTAGAACCATACATACAGCAGAATGGCTAAATTTCTAAATAAAGATATCAACAGTCTACAAGAATGTAGAGACCTTTACAATGGTACACAATTTTTGGAAATTGTTTGGAAGTTTCTTAGAAATGTAAGCATTTACTTAGGTATGAATATAAAGGAAGTTACATCATAGGCTTATTAAAGATTTGTACACAATTTCTCTTAACAGCTAGATTTACATTGGCCCAAACCTGGAAATACCTCAAGTGTCCATCATAGCAGAATGGTTAAATAATAGGAGACACATATATAGAATGGAAAGTTATTTTACAATAAAAATGAACAAATTACTATAAACACAACAGAGATGAATATCAAAAGCATTATACCCAAATAATGAAACAACACACTTGAGATTATACTGTCTTTTTAATTAAAAGATCATTTTATAGGGGGCTTTTACAACTCTTGTTACAATCCATACGTTGATTGCATCAGGCATGTTTGTACATATGTTGCCTTCATTCTTTTCTAGACATTTACCTTTTATTGAGCCCTGGGTATCAGCTCCTCTTTTTACCCCTCCCTCTCCCCACCCTCATGTTCCCTTGATAGATGGTAAATTATTACTATTATCATCTCTCACACTGACTGCTGTCTCCCTTCCCCATGTTTTCTGTTGTTCTTCCCCCTGGAGAGGGGTGTATGGTTGTCTGTCAGTCATTGCAATCAGTGACCCCTTTCTCACTTCCTCTCCCCCACTTCTCCCTACCCTTCTGGTATCGCTATTCCCCTCCTGTTCCTGGATTCTGTGTGTCGTGGACTCCCATCTCTTATCTATACCTGTGTAGTCTGAAGTGAGAAGCAGCACTGGGGTCATGGTCATGAGGGGTGAGGAAGTCTCAAGGAACCAGAGTATAATAGTCGCCTGGGGTAAAAGTTGAAGAAAGGATTGAATACAAAGAAACATGAGGAAGTTTGTGGATGAGAGATAGATTATATATCTTGATCATTACTGAATATTGTTTTCTATAGTTTATCCCTAGCATTCTAACTCCATGTACAACAAAAATGGTGCAGCCTCGTGTCTGTGATCATGGTAGCACATAGCGTTTACATTGGCTGATTTACAAAAGTAGATGACTAGAACATTTTTCCTGGTCTGCCGCACTCTGGAAGTTACATTGAGACACTGTTCAGCTTCATATAAGCCAAGCTTCCATTACAGGTGTGTTGGGGACGACTGTGCATGCGGAGCAGTGGCTGGGCATCACATGCAGACCTCCTACTCCAAATGCAAGAATTCTGTCACTCAACTACCAATATGACCCACGAGTCAGTAAAACAAAATTTCTTAAGTTTGGTGATACAGTGAGAAGAGAACCCTCGCATAACCTGCCAAACGTCTAAGCTAAAGAACTATGAGCTCATAAATAAGCATTGTTTTCATCTGCTAAATGTGTGATACTTTATTACACAGTAATAGAAAAGTTAACATGGTAACTATTTGTTTTCTCTTAAATTTGCTCCATTGCCTATCCCTCTGCTTTATCACCAGCTGCACTTAATTGTAAAAGTGGAGAATATAGATTTTTTCAACTACATATGGAATAAATGCGAATGTTGTCAATACTCTAAGCCAGACTAATGAAACCATAAAAAGGCATATATCAAGAGATTTTTAAATAGGATTTTATCACACAAAAATGGTTTTGGCGTCCCTAGTTGGATATTAACACATTTTTGAAATAGCTACTGAACAAAAAGACATGACAGGGAACCGTAGAAAATACTGTGAACTGCATAAATATGTCAAAGTCTATAGACCAAAATCAAATGATAAATTAGTAGCATTACGTACTTCATCCTATTAACTACTAAAAAAGGGGAAAATGCTAACTAGGATGTGGAGATACTGGGAAACTCGTCCTCTGCTCTCAGGAACCTTGAGTGGGACCCGACTCAGAGTAAGTCTGGGAGACACACTACCGCTGTCCCCGGGGCTTCCAAGGAGGTGACTCTTCACGAGAACAGACAGCTCCATCTTTCTCTGGTAGAACACCGAGTGGTTGGAACCACCAACCTTGCTGTTAACCTGTCAGCAACCCACTTTGCCATCAGTACTTCTCATGTAATTCTAGCGGTGTTGTAAAATGGCACTATAGCTTTTAAAACATTTGAGTTTTTAACAAAGGAATACATGCATTTACTTTACAAACCAATAATCTCAGTCATAAAGATATACCAAAATAAATGCAAACAGTGCTCTCATCGAGTGCTATAGGAAAATGTTCAAAACAGCTTCATTCTTAATAGCCCAAACCTGGAAATACACAAATGCCTATCATCTGCTAAATGGAAGACACATTATGTGATTGACCTAGCACTAGCACTCACGCACTAAATCACTGTATGTACAATGACGTGGATGAACCTTAAAAA